TCTTTTTCTCCAACTTTCCTTCTTTTTCGAATCATAATACATAATCCGAAACCCAGTAATATGATTAAAACAACTATTACAATCATAATTCCTAAAACACAGTAATAATTACAAACGGAGTTTTGACCTAAATTTATCCCATTATTAATTACTTGATTTTTTGTTGTAACATTGATATTTTCTTGTCTACTTTGAATTAATTGATCATTTGTTAATCTCTTTTTTGACCTCTTCCTTAAAGTAGATCTGAGGTTATGACGTCTTTTGCTTGAATAATTTTCATTTAAATCAAATTCATCAGATTCACAATTTACTATTGAATATCTCGACGTCGTTATCATTATGCAAAATATAAAAAAATGTTTAATATTTTTCCAAAATGTTGTAAAATTATTAAAAATCATTGTAAAATTACTTTTATTAACATAACCCTTCTAAAGTCTAAAAATAATAATAATAAAAAAAAAAAAAAAAAAAGAAAAAAAAAAAAAAAGAATCCCTCGAGGTAAATAAAAATAAAAAAAAAAAAAAATAATGGAATTGAAATTAAAGTTTTATGATTGCTTGAATCAAAACATGTTTTTCACCGAATAATAACATTTTTTTTGATAAGCCTCAAAAAGCAATGGAAGCATGGCGAATCTTTTAAACAAATAAAATAATCAAGACTTATGTATTACAAAAATTCTTTTAAAGAAATAAGAAAATCATACAACCCTACGTTGGAAATGTGTATTAACGAAAGTGACCAAAGTGGCGCAGTGATGATTAAACAACATTTCACCTACTTATTATCACCAAGAAAAACAAAACGTTTACGTATAACGATAATAAAAATACTTGAAAAAAAATATATATCATATAATAAGCAATAAATAAGTCAAAGCCCGTGTGGCTTAACATATAGATGGTGGCTTACCGTTATTGGTGGATAATACTAACGCTAAGATTAAACCTAAACGTATACTTCTCGCTAAGATTAATAAACGTCATCGAAGAATGAGCGCGACAACTAAAATCGTCGTTGGCATGTTTTGATTGGATTAGTTAAGTTACAGTAAGATTAAATTGCATTCTTTCATGACTTAAAATTTCTGTTGGCTTGAATTCAACTTTCCAAGTAATATTATTTAAAATATTAATTAATTTATAAATAGTAAATAGTCAATCAAAAAGTTAAGGTTAGTAAATAATTAGTAAATAGCGTGTGATATTATCTTTCGTTCACGTTAACGTTAATGAAAAACGCAACAGCGATCGAACAAATAATGTAAATCTTTGAAATTATCATAAGTAACACGTACTACGTATAAATACATACGTACTTATTATTACGTAAGGTTTATTTTTATAAACCATACGGGTTATATTTGAAATATATTAATTAATTAATTACTTAATTATCTTTTAAAAAATTATGGCAAAAAATCTTTTTTTTTTACACGTAACAAAAATAAATTGATATACATCAAACTGGAAGATCAATACTATCTCCGGAGCAAAGTATATTACGTACTAAAAAAAAAAAATCACGTTTACCCAAAAAAAAAAAAAAAACCTGACTAATTATTTCCTCATTTATATCTTACAAAAAGATTACATTTTTAGTTTTTTAGCAATCGAGAAATCTTTTTTGGTAACATCTCTTTTAAGCAAGAAAATTTCATTTAATGTTAAGCGATCATTGACCAATAAAATAAATTTTATAAATTTTTTTTTTATATTGATATATGATATAACTATTTCATCAAATTTAGTTCAAATAGCCCGGTAATATAAACTTACTAAATATGTAAAATGTCATTCTCTCATTCTCTTTAAAATAAAACCTGTTGTTAACCAATCGACATTATAAGATCGTAAGATCTGAAGTTAGATTTTATTTTTTCAGTTCGATTTTCATAGTTGTACACACACATTATAAGTTGTATGGTAACTCTATGACCGCCACCATACGCCATATGGGAAGTAGCTATCGTTATACTGTGCCCCCCACGACTTACCCTTACGATTTTAGAGATTTCGATTTACTCGGCATATTATATACGTATTATGTTGATACAAGATAGACATATATTTGTTGCATGTGGAACTTTAAAGAATTTCATGATTAAAATTTTAGGATTAGCATTTGCGTTAGTGGTAAAATATATAATAAACTTCTATTATATACCCTAATCTTAATCTGTAATTAGATTCCAAAAAAAAAAATTCCATTTACAAAATATACGTTTTATTGTGCAAAGAAAATAGAATTTAAATGTATATGCGCGTTTATTGAATAAATGTCCATTTGGATCTTTTCCAGGAATGTAAAATTTTCTGTACATATATTAAAGTATGAGAAACCCATTAAACTCATGTTCTTGTGTCTAATTAATATATATATATATATATATTGTTAACTTACAATAATTAAGAATTAAATTTTAATAATTAGAAGTCAATTAAAAACTTTTTTTTTTTTTTTTTTTAAGTTAGCGTACATTGTATCGATATGCAATTAGTATTGGTGTTTGCTTCCAGTAATATTTATGACCTGACCACTTAATATTACTGCTAGACCTTATTACCTTATAATAAAAAATTCTATCGAAAGAACACTATTCCATAATATTATTAATTAAAAAATCTTTAATTAAATACAGTATTATTGAATATTTTAATTTATTGTATGTTACCAAATAAAAGTTTTTGACTAAATTATATAATGTTCTCAAACGCCTAGATCGATAATTAAATTTTAATTAGTGAAAAATAATTTAGCCGATCAAATGAGTTCTTCATCACAATGAAACACGTAGTCGCGACCATCTTTTTCATAGAGTTGCATTGATTGGATAAAACTTAATATCCACCTTAAATCTTCAGGAAAAATTGTTATAAGAATTGTTTCACTTTATTATAATGCTTGTGCACTATCTCAATCATTATTCCAATCATATCGAGGAAGTTGATTGAGAACATCCATAATTTTATTCTTAAAACGGAATTAAATTTTCGGTTTCCAAAATCAAACATAATTTTTTATTTAACTAATTTTAACAACCAATCTCTAATCAAAACTTAAGCTAAACAAAAAAAAATTAAATAAATAAGAAGCTATGTAACGAAAGTCGCTGCGCAGTGAATTGTATTCAAATCGTTGTGTAACAAACAGCTAATCATTGTCGTGTAACAAACGCTATTGTGAGCTTTTTAACCCTAAAAATGAGAAATTTAAATTTAAACTATGTAGAGATAGTATTGAATTAAAAATTTAAAATAACATCAAAAGCTTGAGTCAAAAAAATCGTAATTATAATATGACAGGGTGAAACCTGAGTTGTTTAGGTTACCTTTTTGATGCATTTGATGCAGATCTTTATTTTTATTAGAAAAGTACTATAATAGGTATAATCTGCATCAGGTTTCACCTGTAGTATAATTAGGGATCAAATTTAGTATCAGTCACCCGATTGATCATGGAGGTGAATTTTTTACTATCAGATATAGAATATTTTTCTTTGTATTGTAATTATAGATCAAATGAATTGATATATCTTAATTTCATATATAAATTTATGAAAAATATATATATAGCCGCGGCTACATGTAGCCATCCAATAAAACCAATCAAATTTTAGGATTAGGTGTAACGTAAAATCAAAACAAATACTAGTTTTTTTTAAAGAAATCACTAATAACTCAAAATTTCGATTATGAAACCATCTTCTATACTCTAACAAAAAAAAATTCCTCGCTAAATTTTGCATATACTAATGTTTAGAAAAAATCCCAAGTCTCACCCTAACCCTAATCTTAATCGTGAGTTTTATTTTTATAAAAACAATTATTTTGATAATTATATTATACTTGATCTTAGTTATGGCTACATGTAGCCTATGGCTACAAATAAATTAATTCTACTTAAAAAAATTCTTTTTAAAATAGAATCTTTATTTTTTAGTATTTAATATTTCTTTTTTATAAATTTTTGTAGAGTATTAAAAATATAACTTTAAGAAAATCTTTATTCAAGGTTGAATTTTTCTTTACTTAAGATTGTATTTTTAAATATAAATATTTCACTAAAAACAGGTTTAATCTTAATCTTTTTACTATTTAGAATAAAAATTTTTTCTTTTTAAAGAAAAATTTTAACTAATTATATTATTTAAAATATAATATCAGTTTTTTAACTTAAAAAATATAATAAAAAAGGTTAATTTTGAATTAAAATCTTTTTTAAATTATGTTTTTATATTTTGTAAAAATTTATAAAAAAGAAATATTAAATGTTAAAGAATAAAAATCTTATTTAAATAGTCTAGTGATCTTGATATAGTGTAGTGCTCAGCAAAATTAAACAAAAAATTTGATTATCAAATATGAATATTAAATAACTAATTTTAAATCAAAATATACTAATACATAATTTTTTTTTTGTTGTTATGACAGCTTACATTGCCAAAGAAATTTTATTAGTATTGTCAATAGAATTATACATTAATAATTTCTACTGTTTGTAATTACATAAAGAGTATACAACAAGCTATATATACAACTTTAGTTATTGTCTATTTTAAGTAATTCACCACATAGACATTAGACTACTTGATTAATTTTACACTATGCTGCCATACCTGTAACCTATTTATGAGTTATTTATTTAAACACTCTGTTCATTAATCTATACAGATCTAATCTAATGTCATTACAACATTTAATTACTTAAGCTAGCTAGCTTATTATGAATTTATTTATTCAGAATAGCTTAGGTCTTCTTAGGATATATTATACTAGACATATTACTAGTATTAAAAAACTAGTTAATTTTGAAACAAACTTACTAGAGTAGTCTATATCTATTTTACAAATTTATCTAGTTTAGACTCTTGTAAATATTCATATAATCCTAGGTTCTATTATGATTCTCCACTAGTCAGTTAACCTAGTTATTTTTCAGTATCTAGCTAGTTCTAGTTACTTTTTGTCTAAAGATCTCAAAATCTTCTACTTTTATTAGACCAAGTTTTCTTTTCAGATCAGATTTTAGCTAATGTAGTCCTGTCAGAAGGCTGTATTACTTTACCAACTTGAGATTTCTACTATGTAGGTCTCTTGCTTATATATCTTATCAAGATTTATTCATATAATATTATGCTATACTTTTAAGTTCTGATTAATTTGGTACAACTTAATTTACAGAAGTATGTCTTCAGAAACAGATAGGGTTTACTATATTATATTACAAGGTTTAAAAAATTATTTAAATTTATTAACAGTAAGATTTGAACTTCAGATTTATTACATAGTAGTCACTATACTAGGTAGTTAGACCTTACTAATACATAAATTT